ATTGTTTATTTCATAGCATCTTAATTTTTTCTATGCAGTAAAAGATATAAAATGTATTTATTGTTCACTGAAACAAATTCTATAATTATTGTCTGCTAGGAATTATTACTTGGATCCCAATCTTTGTTCAGGAACAACTTATTTTGTTGCGAGATATCTTTTAGAATGTTTCTGGTTTATAATATCTTTCAAATATTTCAATTCTTCCTTGATCTTTTAAAGAGTAATAAACTCTACTAAATTTTTCATTTGTGGTATTAATTATAACTACAGGAATTTCATGTGCTTCTTAGTAGTCATCTCTACACTAAAATAATATTGCATTGTTGTTCCTTCTAATATATTATTATACTTCAAATGTCATTTTCCCATTAGACATATATTTTCTTACATTAAACTCTTCTTTATTAATGAATTTTATACAGGATAGTCTTGGGTTTTTAGTCCATTTGTAAGAAGTTCCTATTAAGAAATTCAATGAAGCATGAGAACAATGCAAGAGTAATTTATTAACATATCAAGACGCTTTAATTTGCTAACATTTTCCTATCATGTAAGTCTGACAGAATAAAAAGAACAAATTGCTAGAGCATGAAACAGTAGAATTGGAAGAAAAAGCTATCGATTAAGAGCTCATGGGTTCAAATGTTCACAACATGAAGTCTATGTTTACACCAACATACAGTTAGTGTTCATATTGGCGAATTTATTTAGGCTTAGGCTGTTCACCTCTTCTACCTTTCTAACACTATATAAAAATAGGAGAGCACATGCAAGTCACAATGGAAAAAGTTATACCATTAGGAATATAGATGGAACAGATAAGCTTTAAAAATTGAGCAATGTTTATATATTCCAGTTACTATAGAAATAGTTACTTCTTCATTTAGTATATTTCATGTTTTCTACATAGACTGAAAACCTATAATTATTAGCAAACATTTTACCATAAATCGTCTATAATCTATTTTAGCCATAATAAAGGCCATATTTTCTTTGGTTAGGAAAAGGTTGCAAGAACATTTGAGTTCAACATCTTTTTTTTTCCCTTTCTTTAAAAAAAATATATTTTATTGATTTTTTACAAAGAGGAAGGGAGAGAGATAGAAAGCTAGAAACATCAATGAGAGAGAAACATCGACTATCTGTCTCTTGCACACCCCCTACTGGGGATGTGCCGACAACCAATGTACATGCCCTTGACCAGAATGGAACCTGGGACCTTTCCGTCAGCAGACTGATGCCCTGTCCACTGAGCCAAACCGGTTTTGGCTTGAGTCCAATATCTTAAGAGTAGTTGAACATGCACTCTCTCCTTTGGTACAGTCTCCTTTATACTTATTGTCATACTTGCTGCCTCACAGACTTCCTGAATTTTAATCTCATTATCTGAATTTTAATCTCAACTTTGGACTAGACACTTTCCAGGAAGGCTGCACCTATGTCTATTTTATTAATTCCTGTACTCCCTTCCACCTAGTACAGTACTTGACACAGTAATTGTGTGACAAATATTTGTTGACTGAATCACTAAAAGAATCCTATCTAATAAAAGAGTAATATGCAAATTGACTGTCACTCCAACATGCAAGATGGCCGTTTCCCATGTGGTCAAAGATGGCTGTCCCCATGTGGACACAAGATGGCCACTACAAGATGGCCAGCAGGGGAGGGCAGTTCAGAGGGACCAAGTCTGCAAGGGAGGGCAACTGGGGGTGATCAAACCTGTAGGAGAGGACAGTTAGGGGTGACCAGGCCAGCAGAGGAGGGAAGTTGAGGGGGACCAGGCCGGCAAGGGAGGACAGTTAGGGGTAAACAAGCTGGCAGGGGAGCAGTTAGGGGGTGATCAGGCTGGCAGGCAGAAATGGTTAGGAGCAATCATGAAGGCAGTTGAGAGCCAGCAGTCCTGGATTGTAAGAGGGATGCTCCAGATTGGAGAGGGTTCAGGCTGGACTGAGGGACACCCCCACCCCCATTATGCACAAATTTCATGCACTGGGCCTCAAGCAAATAAATAAATGGAGGAAAGAAAGATACCTTAACCTATAAATTTCTTTTTACCATAATATCCCAGTTGATTTCAATGAGAAAGGGTCCCCTTATCTACTGTAAAAATAATCTGAAGTGGCCATAGAAATAGACTGTTTATAAGGTTTTAATGTATCAAACTACTTGGGAACCTACCTTTAAATTTTTATTATATGTATGTTTTATAATATCTATTACATGATGGTCATTCAATCGTTGTGAAACAAAACACGTGCAGATAAAATTTTATTTAAAGAATTAGTTTGACAGTTTTCATCCTAATATTGATGAGTTAGTTTTGTTTTGTTTTGTGTTATACCCAAAGTTATACCTCAGCCTTAGCAAGTCATGTCACAAATCCTTACCATTCAAACATTTTAATTCCAATAAGGAAATACCGGCATATATTTATCACCATTATTTGAAAGAACTCAAAGTATGACTTATATCAATGATTTATTACATTATCTTTATATATACTATAGTATTAATTAATGCTGAGTCAGGCACTTTTCTAAGTTCCTTATACTTGTTAACAATTAAATCCTCACAAAACCCTATTATTATTGTCTCCATTATACAGATAAAAAAACCAATTTGTCTAAGGACCCAAAGCCAATGAATAACAGACTTCAGATATGAACGCAATCTAGCTCCATTGCTCTTATCCCTAGCTGCTATATATAGTGCCTCTCATATAGTTCTCTTTATATAATATGATACCTAATTATTTAACTTTGCAGATAATGATTGTATTCAGATAATGTGTAACTAGATTTGCTCCTTGATGAAAGACCTATGAATTACAATGTGTCCATCTACCCAAGTCTGATTAATTATCTGCAGTGATTTTTGTTCAGTTCAATTACATTGGAAACATTAATCCTATCTAATAAAAGAGTAATATGCAAATTGACCATCACTCTAACACACAAGATAGCTTCCCTCATGTGGTCAAAGATGGTTGTCCCCAGGTGGACACAAGATGACTTCCACAAGATGGCCAGGAAAGGAGGGCAGTTGGGAAGGAATAGGTCTGAAAGGGAGGGCAGTTGTGGGCAATCAGGACAGCAGGAGAGGGCAGTTGAGTGGAGAGGGAGGGAGACCTGCAGGGGAGGGCAATTAGGGTTGACCAGGCCTGCAGGGGTGGGCAGTAGGGGTGACCAGGCCTGCAGGGGAGGGCAGTTAGGAGCAAACAGGCTGGCAGAGGAGCAGTTAAGCATTATTATTATTATTATTATTATTATTATTATTTATTTATTTTACCAACTTGTGATTCTCAGTAAAATGCTGGCTAACTGATCTCTTAAGTCCCTTTAGTACTTATAACATCATAACTAAAATTAGCGATATTCTAGTAACTAACATTTGATAGAAATTTCACACAAAATGAAAGATCAAGAGAGTGAATAACATAAGAATGGGAAAAAATTAGTATGCTGGCTTCAAAAATAGGCTAAGAAATATTCCATGTGTAATAATAATAGCTAATATTCATTAAGTGCCTCTATGTCCCAAGTACTATGTTACTTTCTTTAAATGTACACATCATTTGATCTTTATAACTATACTAGAGGCCCGGTGCACAAATTCTCGTGCCAGTGGCCGAAATAGGCTCTCTGACACCCCCTTGAGGGGCCCTGAATTACGAGAGGTCCAGAGACCCCACTGGTGCAATGATCAGGGCTGGAGAGGGATGCAGGAGGTTGGACAGCTGAGGATGGACCATGGGAGGGGTAGAGGGCATGTCTGGCCCAACTCGCTCAGTCCCAATCGGCCAGATCCCAGCAGCAAGCTAACCTATGTGTCAGAGCATCTGCCCCCTGGTGGTCAGTGCATGTCATAGGGACTGGTTGACTGGTCAACTGTCTGCCCCCTGGTGGTCAGTGCATGTCATAGTGAGAGGTTGAGCGGCTTTAGCCTATTATTAGCCTGTTACACTTTGATTGGTTGAACAGACAACCAGATGACTGGACACTTAGCATATTAGGCTCTTACTATATAGAATGAGGGAGGATATTATTATTCTTATAATACAAATGGGGAAACTGAAGCTAAGAGAAAGTGCTTTTAATTCACATATCCAGTAAGAGTAAGTAGTGGAACATAGAACTTCAACTTAGGTAAGTCTAGTTTTCAAAGACAAGAAAAGGGAGAAGAGAAGGTGGGCTAAGTTAAAAACCATCTATGGGATTAATTTTAAATTGGTTGCAATGCATATTTCCCTGTCTCAGAGGGCTCAAAGATCCCCCCACCAAACCCAAATGTAAATACATGTCTTTTAATCCACTGTGGAATACTAAACCTGACAACCAAGATGATAGAAAAGAGAAACATTCAGAGTGCATGGATGAAGGCTTACTGTAGCTCTGAAATTATTTTAGCCTATAGATAAGCTTTTGGGGCTTAGTTCCTAGTTCTTCAATATATTTCAGAGAGTTTAGTATCCTGCTTAGGTTTCCTCTGGACAGATGAGTTGAACTAACCAAAAATTAGCTTTTCATTCATATCCCCCATTATATATTATTTTTCTTTCCAATTTTGGGGCCAAATCCTACCAACCCCTTGTTAAATTGTAACCAACTTATTTTCAGTGTTAAGTTCCCCTACATTGTTTGTATATGTGTGTGTGTGTATGTATGTCAAGATAACATGTCTTATCACCTAAAAAATGTATCATAGAAATGATTTTTAATTATATGTTGTACTAATTTTATGTTTCTTGTCTTGACCCTTAACACCTAGGATCTGTTCTTTCTCAAATATCCATTTCATTTGCATATATTAGTACTAATTTATCTTCTGTGGGTTAATACCTACACTAAGAATTGACAAGATTTATATACTGACTACAAAAGAAGACAACCAGGCTTACATTCTCACAAACATTAACTGAATAGATATAATCAGTAGAAATGGTTATAAGATATAGTCTTATAGAGAAAATGGACTTCTATATATTTAAAAGTTACCTTTGATAGATCCCTGAAGTTTCCTGGAAGAGTCAAGTCCAAGTCTTCTGATTCATAGTTTGTTAAGACCCATGGAAATACAGGATATTGGTTCAGATCATTATATGTCCGTCCTAGGGGAAAAAAAAAAAAAAAAAAAAAAAAAAAGAGGAATGATAATCTTTATACATCAATTGATTATGAAATTGTTCCTGTTCTTATAATAGACTAGAGGCCCGGTGCACATTCATGCGTGGGGGTGGGGGTGGGGGTAGGGGGGGTGCCCCTCAGCCCAGCCTGCACCCTCTCCAATCTGGAACCTCTCTAGGGATGTCTGACTGCCTATTTAGGCCCGATCCTCAATGAGCAGTAATACATCCTCTCTGAATCCAGGACTGCTGGTTCCCAACTGCCTGCCTTCTTAATTGCCCCTAACTGCTTCGGCCTGCCAGCCTGATCACCCCCTAACCACTCTCATGCCAGCCTGATTGGTGTCTAACTGCTCCCCTGCCAGCCTGTTTGCCCCCAACTTCTCTCCTCTGCCAGCCTGGTCACTCCTAACTGCCCTCCCTTGCAGGCCTGGTCCCTCTGAACTGCCCTCCCCTGCTGGCCATCTTGTAGTGGCCATCTTATGTCCACATGGGGGCAGGATCTTTGACCACATGGGAGCAGCCATCTTGATCTTGTGTGTTGGAGTGATGGTTAATCTTCATATTACTCTTTTATTAGATAGGATAGAGGACTGATGCACGGGTGGGGGCCAGCTGATTTGCCCTGAAGGGTGTCCTGGATCAGGGAGGGGGTTCCCTTGGGGCATGGGGCAGCCTGAGCAAGGGGCCTTTGGTGGTTTGCAGGCCAGCCATGTCCCCTGGTGACCCAAATGGTGGCCCTGGTATATGGAATTTATCTTCTACAATTGAAACTTTGTAGTAGCCTGGAACAGAGTCAAGCCTTCGACTTACTCCATGGCTTTAGCAATTTGTTTGGATTTGTTTACCTTCTATAAATAAAACTTTGTAGTCTTGAGTGGAGGCCAAACTGGCTAGGGCAGGCAGAAAGCTTAGCTTCTTTCTTTGCCTGGGAAACCCAAGCTTCCCTCCTGCTCTTTGTGGCTGTAGCCATCTTGGTTGGGTTTATTTGCATACTCGCTCTGATTGGCTGGTGGGTGTGGGTTGTGGGCATAGCAAAGTGATGAATAATTTGCAAATTACTCTTTTATTAGGTAGGATAACTATTGAATTTCAGAAGAAAGGTAACTCTTTTGCTTATTGACCTATGTTTTTATTTAATCTAAAACATTCATAACAATGTGTTTCAAGTGAATTCACTTAATAATGATTAACTATAATTACTTTTTTGTAATATAAGCTTGTATAGAGACTGTTGTTTGTCATAACTGATTTCTTTTCTTCCTGGTATATATATTTCTCAGCCCCCTTTACAAGTAGATATGGCAATGGAAATTAGCACTAATATGCAAAAGGTGAGCAGAAGTGACATGTGCCATAATCAGGCTTGGCTCACTGCAACTTTCATGTATGCACTCCATGGTCCATCTCTCTTCTGCTGACTATCTAAACTAATAAAAGGGTAATATGCTAATTAGAGCAGGAGACCTTTCAGACATTGTTCTGGACAAAGCCATGGTTGTGGGGCTGAGGCAGAGGCAGGTTAGGGGTGATCAGGCCAGCAAGGGGTGGGGGTGGTGAGTGGACAGTTGAGGTGAGCAGGCTGGCAGGGAGGGCAATTGGGGGTGAGCAGGCTGGCATGTGGGGACAGTTGGGGGTGAGCAGGTAGGCAGGTGTGGGCAATCAGGCTTGCAGAGAGGGAAAATGGGGGTGATCAGACTGGAAGGGGGGGCAGTTGGGGGCGATAAGGCTGGCAGGCAGAGTGGTTAGGGGTGATCAGACAGGCAGGCAGGTGAGTGGTTAGAGCCAGTGGTCCTGGACTGTGAGAGGGATGTCCGACTGCCGGGTTAGGCATGATCCTTATGGGGTTTTACAGGGACATGCCCTAAGAGGTCCCAGATTGCAGAATGTGCAGGCTGGGCTGAGGGACCACACCATGCATGAATTTGTGCACCAGGTCACTAGTGATGAATATTGCCACATTGGAAGTAGAGCCTTCTCGGCTAGGGATGCTAAAAGTGATCATGGAGGAGGTCGCCCTGCTGACCCGCCCTCCTGCAGGTTGTGTTGGTATTCTACTATGAAGAATATATATCCAGGAATTACATTGCTAGTATAGAGAATACTATATTGTTTGTATCAAGAATCAATGTATATATACAGATCATGTATCAGAAATGTACACCTGAATCCTATATAATCTTATTAACCAATATCACCCCAATATATTTAATAAAAAATTAATCAGAGTAGTGATTTTGCAAAAGCACTTCAAAGCCAGTCTGGAAAAGTATAGAGGAAGATGTTGTATTCTTTTTTCACTCCTTTACATTCATGACATTTTTTTTTTGTATTAAATTGTTTCATTTTAGTGAAGTGCTGCTGAATCTTAGATTGAATTTGCTGTCTTATTGTTGTGATTTTTTAAAGATGTATAAGTATTTCAGGTAATATACTGAAGTATAGTGGGAATGTAGATAGTTTAGGGCCATGGTCGGCAAACTGCGCCTTATGAGCCACATGCTGCTCTTTAGCTCCTTAAATGTGCTCTTCCACAAAGTACCACACCCCGGGCGAAGTGGCTTTAGAAGAAGTTTAAGTTAAAAAAATTTGTGTCTCAAAAGAAATTTCAATCGTTGTACTGTTGATATTTGGCGCTGTTGACTAATAGGTTTGCTGACAACTGGGAGAGCATAGCACTTACTGGCTCACCCTCATAAACTGGTACTGAAATAATACATAATCAGATGAAATGAAAAAAACTGCTATTTAAAAAAGAAAGGGTTCAATGAAAACTTTTACTGGGTAAGATTATATTTTATAAAAGTATGTTATGATCTGATCATGAGCAGCTTTCTAAATTTCCATTCAAATTCATATTAAATAGCTACTTCCCTAGTATTTAGTGATATGAATTTCATCTAGTATGCATTGTTGCAGACACCACATATAGTGCAACCGTAACATAGATATGCAGATACTTTCCTGTTCATTATCAAGTATTGAGAGTAAATGATATCCACTCTTATAGCAATTATAAATAAAAATAGGAAAAACAAACCACAATCTGAGGAAGAACTAAATGTGCTATTATAAGCATCAAATCAAATTGTATAATTTATTTAGTAAACATTTATTGAGTGACATTTTATTTTCAACAATAATAGTAGAAGTTTTGTTGAAAACTATTAGTACACACAGAATATTTCTTAGCCTATTTTTGAAGCCTGCAAACTAATAAATGTTTATTATATGAATCTGAATTTTACAATAAAAAGACATATTGTTTTAACTATGTAAATTGATATAGGTGTGTACTATATATTGGTAGAAGGTAATTGATAGAAAGCAGAGTGCTACTTGCACTTTGCATCTTCTAGAATGAGGTGAAAGTAGGTTAGGGTTTCCCCTTTGTTCTCCCACCACAGCATTCACACAGACGGGTGTTAGAGTTAATGAGCATCACTGCTAATTTGTCTGCCTCTCCACTAGTCTATAAACTCAAGAATGTAGGGTCTGGGGTTCTCTCTCTCTCTCTCTCTCTCTCTCTCTCTCTCTCTCTCTCTCTCTCTCTCTATTTTTAAATAAATCTGTGTATTTCCATATACTGTTTATCCAATACATATTTATTAAAAGAATGAATACATATGTGATAAAAATGAGCCAAATTTTAACAGCTGAATAAGCATAAACCAAGTAAAGAAAGAAAATTATAGGACAGTCTTTGGAGGATGAAGACTATGAAGGCAGATGTATGTGACAAAGAATGGTACTGTGAATGTGCACGCTAAACTGGAATAAGGTATCTGCAGCTAAATAACTCAGCCAGCGATACCTGCTCTATGTTTCTGTCTATTGTGAAGAATAATACTAATGAATTTGGAACCTTGAGTCTTTTGTACATGAAAATGGTCTGCTAAAACTATCACTGTAAAATACAAAATGTAAAATGTAACATTGTATAATTTTACATTTTTACTGATAGCTCATAAATATGGTAAAAGACACCTTATTACTCTCACTACTTTTTTTATACACATGTATATAAACAGAGAAACTATATTGGCTAGCAGAGTTATTTCTGGATTCTAAGTGGGCCCATGGCATTTTTAGTGTTCCATCATATTCTGAGCTACCATTCTACTTAAAAATCTGTATAATTCAATGAAAAATAGGTTTCCCAATATATAAGTCTATTTCTAATAAAAATAATGGTGATATTATTTATATAACATACTAGAGGCCCAGTGCACAAAATTTGTGCACAGGGGCGGGGAGGGAGAGAAGGGGCTCAGGCCAGCCTACACCCTCTCCAATCTGGGAACCCCCAACTGTCCTTCCCTGTAAGCCCAGTCACCCCCAACTTCCCTCCTCTGCTAGCCTGGTCACCCCTAACTGCCTTTCTCTGCAGGCTTGATCGTCTATTTAGGCCCGATCTAAATCCCTAAACGGGCAGTCAGACATCCCTCTCACGAACCAGGATTTCTGGCTCCAAACTGCTCACCTGCCTGACTTCCTGACTGTCCTTCACCGCTCTACCTGTCAGCCTAATCATCCCCTAACCACTCCCCTGTCAGCTTGATTGATGCTTAACTGCTCCCCTGCCAGCCTGTTTGTTTCTAACTGCCCTCCCCTGCAGGCTTGATCACCCCTAACTGCCCTTCCCTGCAGGCCTGGGTCCTCCCCAACTGTCCTTCCCTGTAGGCTCAGTCCCCCAAGTTCCCTCCTCTGCTAGCCTGGTCACCCCTAACTGCCTTCCCCTGTAGGCTTGATCACCCACAACTGCCCTCACTTGCAGTCCTGGTCCCCCTTATATTGTGGTGGCCATCTTATGTCCACATGGGAGCAGGATCTTTGACCACTTGGCGGCAGCCATCTTGTGTGTTGAAGTGATGGTCAATCTGCATGTCACTCTTTTATTAGATAGGGGAGAGGCCTGGTGCACGGGTGGGGTTTGCAGGCTGGCCATGTCCACCTGCGACTCAAGTGGAGGCCCTGGTATCTGG